CGCATTTTGTGGTGGTGATCGTGTTACTCCTCAGGGAGGACATTAGCGCGTTCGTTTCCCACCATAGACACCTGCGGTCCAGAGTTTTGTGAATATCCCAGCATCGTTGTGATTCTATTTCATATCATACCTTGCCATGGGAAAGGAATAGCAGTAATTAAAAGGTGAGTGAATTGTGATTTTATCAGCTTAACTATGTTCAATGACTATTTGTGCTTCCCAGATCAATCCCATTGACGGGTGGTTACTGCTAGCACCTATAGGTTAAAATGCAGTTGAGAGAAATGTGAAACAAAGTACCGGCATGGTGTGGTGGTGAACTACATTAACCCTCAAAGGATAATAGCGGGTTCGATTCCCACCGCACCTGTAGTCCGGAGTTCTACAAATATGTCACCATCACTGTGGTTAGAAAGGGGGTTGTCCGAGCAATACAAAATTGTTAGCTATACGAGCAGCAATCTTACGCGTCGTGGGTGTCGACGGTTAGACTGCTACCATAGAATTCGTTAACCGCGAGTTGGGGTCATCGTATGTGCGTAAGTACTCCTTCATCAGCAATTGCAGTCACTACTGCTCACTCGGATAGTTCGTTTTCCGGATGTTTCACTGTGCAATTGTTTGTCGATGTTTGCTGTCTAAAAAGTAAAGGGTCAAGATGTACTTTCATGTATTTTCTTTAAAAATGTTAGTTATGGAGCAAGTGAGAAGACACGTATCAGCAATAGGAAATAGTTTAACGATATTATTCCATATCGTTCCCGCTTATCCCTGACTGTTTTTCCAATGTTTCATCATTCAGTTCTTCATCAAAAATGCACTTTTAGTTTACCCTTTTTAAACAGGTCTCGCTCCTCTTCCTCTTTTCCGTTTGGTCTTTTCTGCTCGTTAACTTTGTACTAGTTTCGATCTTTCCGTGATTTTTATCGTTCTACAAGGATGCGCTTTAAAATTGGAGGCTGATGACTAGTTTCTTATGACGAGCTTATCTAATTTTTTGCACGCAAACTTCGAATTGAGATCGATTCACATCGGTCGGTTTGCGTTCCCCACATACGAGTGACGTCCTCAATAGCAGTATTTCTTATTCTAGGTTGTGGGTGCAAAAAGTGGGATGCGGAGACATCTTTATACACTCGCCGTGCATGATTCCAGCACTCTTCACATCCTCACCGAGAGCAGTCTCTGTGGCCTCTCGAACAAAGTCGTCCGAAAGATCAAGTGTTGTCACTGACAAAAGATCTATATTTTATAAGACATTGACTGAGTGGGAAAAGTACAGTAAAAACCTCTGAGTAGAAAATAAACGGTAGAAGGTATGGAAAAATTGCTTTGCTATCAGTTCTCATCAGCCCGCCGTCTACTCTCTGTGTGAACGGGAAGCAATTCACATCAGAGTCTAAGTGTTGATCATTCTTTCCCTTACTGATAATTAAGTACATTTGTTAATTAGTTTAATTCTTTGGGGTCTACTTATGCTATTAGATAGTTAATCGGACACACATGATCCGGTCTATGTTAATCCCTGCAAGTTAGTCACGAAGCTATGTGATGCCCTCTAGATCTCGAATAAAGGGTTAAATGCGGACCAGAAACGGCATTGTATCTGCTCAGAGAAGTTGGCAGATTCAAAGGACGGAGTGTTTCTGCTGTGCCAGGTTGACATTTATATTCACTACGTATGTGAACATATTTTGCATTGGGAAATGTTTACAAAATTGTATTTGATAGGACCAACCGTTTCCGTAAAGTATAATAGTTGTAAACATCGCTCCACCACATGCGCCAAACTTTTCCACTAGTTGCCGAAATATTTGCCTTGGATTATCTCTAACTAATAACGTTTAATTCTTCGACAAGAATGATATTTGCTAGGGTTCCACCTCAAAATTCAATCTTAACCAACTAATGACGATTACAGTATTTAGGCTTTAATCATGTTAAATAAAGCCACAAGGAGCCTGAGCTATGTGCAAAACCCGGAGCCTCAGGTGGCTTTCGAACTTGCAATTACCTTATCTGGGGGCTCATGTGTTACCAAATGCATCACTGAGGCTCTTTGCTTTGCCTTTCCCTCGCCCAGTTTTTTATCCCAATGTTGCCATAAGCAATAACCCGTCAACGGAAATGACCTGGTGGGCACAAATCAGCGCGGAATCCAGTTAAGCTGTTGCTGCGGTCCGAATCATAGTGCTCAACTTCTTTCTAACTTTTAATGACGATTAGTTTTCTCGTTAATAAAAGTCCCAAATATTACATCAAAATTTCGAGGAACTGTTGTAGTCTACTATCGCGCTCATTCGAAAAGGTTTTGGAGCTAAAAAGAGTGAAAAGTAGTGCAGATTATGAGGAAGCTAGTCTTCCAGAGCGTGTACGAACATTTGAAATTGTGAGGTCTAACATTTCATAATGAACAAGCTACTAGGTATCTTTAAATATAAGCGTATATCATTAAGTAAGCGGAAGGAAGAAGAAGAAGACGATGTCCGCCGAAATATCAGATGTTGCGATTAATATATAACAACAACCTTGTGTTTGCTATTCAGAAAAATAGCGTGTTATTCATCCGAGGTTAAGAGAAAGTCGGTCTTGAGAATTAAGTACTTATTTACTACCCAGGTATTTTTTAGTTTCTTCATTGACTACGCATACCAACTCCAGTGACGTTCATAAAATGGACTTAATCGTGGAACAATATTCCAAATGGTGGGTTTGATCCTATATAGCTCCATCGAATGAGAAGAATTCACTTAGGATTACGGACGTGCTCGCATATGAGGTACAAATGGACACATTCACTTCCTTCGATACAACGAGCGAAACCACAGGCACAGATGAGAAAACCGAAGATGATATGACGCTGCGTGTTTTCCGACCACTAGAATTCCTCGATAAGGAATCCGTAACGAGATTCCCTATCACTGTTCCCACAGCGTAAGTATCACTTGTTGTTGTCATTGTGTGGAATAAGGCATGTTCGTTCAGTAGTGGCGCACCACTTACACATCCGGCAGAGAACGACGATATCCGCATCACATCGGACACGTCAACCAGGATCGCCAATGTGACCACAGATGTTGAAGACAAAATGGAGGAGCTTCTATCTCGAACATTAGGATTCCTGAACGGTGAATCCATAATGATTTTAGAAAGCTCAACTAAAGACCTCAAGAATGAAGCTATGTACCTTAGTTATGGAATGTTCTAAACAGTCCAAGTCAACTGCTCAAGTACTGTTAACGTCCAACATGAAGAACACAGTAAAATAAAGCAAGAACGTCGTAAATTTTCGGGGGGTTGTCCCATGATAAGACACACGGCAAAAGAATGAAGGATGAGGCGTTCGGCCTAAATCAATCTCCTTGGGAAGTACCTTGATGAAACCTCCATTATGCATCGTGAAAAAGATTATATATATGTATAATATATAGCATAATATGCATATAATATAATATATGTATATGGCCTATGGAGTGATTTGTGGTGGCTTACTAATGTATCAAATTAGTGTGTTTATCCCTCCACGAAGGTCCTGTACCAATTTGTGTGTTTGTAACCCCTGCAAGTTTGATTAACTAAGGCGCGAAATGGAACGAACGACCGTAAATTCTTACTGGTGTCTGTATCCGCGTTTATATCCAATGGACTTTTAACCATGTGTTAAACGCTCCCATAAAACTGATTATAAATAAGAAAAAAAAATAAGCGATGTGAACGGAGCGATAAAAGCGAATTTGTAATCTATCTTCCGAGAGCCCCGTGTAACGGCTAATTTCAGAGCGACACGATAGCGCCACAGATGATGTTCTAAATGTGACATTAGCTGGACGACAAAATTCCGATCAGGCTGTGATGTCAAACGACACAGTGAATGGTATGTGCACAAGAGTAAAACTAGAATGAACATTTTCAGTTCAAAGGCGTTGCTAAGCTTCAGTGGGAGTTAAAGGGTAAAAAGGATAAAGCTCTCGGCGTTTATTAATCTCTGAGGAATGCGTCATGCATTCGCCCTCATTAAGTATCGTTGGAGGTGATCAAATGCATATCTGGGCTTTACAATGACTCGTGGTGGCCTACCGATGCATCGAGCCAGTGATGCTATCCTCCCAGACAAGTCTGGTAGCAATTTGCCAACCCTAGAGGGATGGAAGGCTTGGTGGGTCATGGGCGCGCGGATCGATTCCACGTGTGTGTCGCAGTGGCGCCTCCAACCTCTGCGCCACAGTGTGATTTAGGTATATTAACTGCGACTAATCAGTTACGGTTATTCACATAACTGAGAAGAAAATTTTTAGTACTTGTCATAAAATATTTAGCATTAAAGCTCTCTTAATGAGAAATGTTCCATTCCGTTCAGATTTGGTGATAATGAACTTAAGCGAAATACAACCACAACGTTGCTGAGATGTTTGTAAAACTGCGAACCGCAGGTGTCCGCGGTGGGGAACAAACGCGCTACTGTCCTTTCCGAGGTCTAACGCGCTCACCACCACACCATGCGGGTCTTTCGTTTCGCCTTTCTCTCAGCTAGTTCTATCGATCAGTGCCATCAGCAATCACCTGTCAGCAGGATTGATCTGGGAAGCCCATATCGGCATTGAACTCTCTGCTAGCACTGATCGATAGAAGTAGTTGAGAGACAGGCGAAACGAAGGACCGGCATGGTATGGTGGTGAACGCTCTAGTAGGCGGGAAGGCTAATAGCGCGTTCGTTCCCCACCGCAGACACCTGCTATCCGATGTTTTGCACATATGTCTGCAACTTTGATTATGTTTCGCTTAATACCCTGCCGTAGAAAATTGTAATAGGCAGAAAATAAAAGGCAAAAATAATGAATTGATTTTAGAGCCAAATAGCAACAACACAGATCTAGTGTTAGGGTTGTTGTCAAATGTGCCACAAAGTGTCGATAAGGATGTATCGCCGAACGATACAGTGGACGCTAGTAAGTGCATAAAAACCAATTTATGTTGTTCGAAAGGAAGCTTACTATGAACGGGATTTAAAACGCTTGTTTGAACCTTCATGAAGTGAATAACCTTGGTAGGTTTTCACGTTACGGTATTATTCCTCAATTGCCTCGTTCTTTATCGAGTTGAGCAAAAATAATTTTCGATTGGCCTTTGTTAGCCGACATTGTCTGCTTCCAACTTCTCTTCCTTCTTCCCATATTTTTATTTCGATCAGCTCTAACGACTAATCATCTGCGACACGAACGTCAATGGGTATCGAATTTGTTTTTAACCTGGAGCCAAAATACATAAGGACGTGTTCTAGGGTATAGATGCATCCAAGGAACGACCTCATGTTCTTGCTGTGCAGGATGGATTTATGCATTCGGTAAATGTACAAATGCACTTAGGCATATATGCAGAGTTCCCTACAATGCACATTTGATCGTTGGTTCAATCCTGCACCCAGGGAAACCAAGCCCTACATCTCTTTGGAGTCGACAGATTGGTACCAGACTACTCTGAGATGATAGAAACACATCGCTACATCGGCCTATTACATCGCTAACCCAACGCCACTCGTTGTGTAGGTCAAATATGCATTCGCTCACCTCTACTGCGCTTAATGGAGTCAAGTGCATGGGATTGGTCAGAGCCAAACGTTCTTTCCTCTTATCCTTTATGTGTGTCCTTTATGTTCTGCTGTGTACTTTTCTATCATTTTGGTACGTTTTCACCTCTTGTGGTATGATTTAAAAAGACTCGTCAACCGTCAAGCTACGATGCAATCGACCCGATTCCCAAAACATAGTATACTTCGGCATGAGGTTGTTATTACCAGTTAGTAATAAGAACTCCACTAAAAAGGCCTTTGAACAATGTCGATGTGAAAAGGAAGTCAGAAAGCAAATGACGATTTCACTCTCGTCTCCGATCACAGCGAAAAAAAGACGATCCTTAAAATGCAGAGCTGGCCAGTGACTCTGTCTTGCCTCCCCATGTTGGGAAAACGTTTTTAATTTACCTTCCGTTTACTTCATTTGCATTTATGACTTATAATTTTTAAGTTTTTTTTTCGTTCGTTTATCAATAGAGTTCAGTATATCTTGTGTGGTTGCCACATGATCACAAGAATGGCGATACGGCAACACCGTTGGTTTTCGAGTTCTAAACGTGTTGTCCGCTAAGTCAACGAGTGTCGGTAGGAATATGATAGCAAGCAACTGAATGCGTGGCTAATTTAACACACAAAGCTTGAACGAATTTCTTCCATTCAAGGGTGACACTGAATCCTTGCACTAAATGCTTTAGAAGTCGAAACACTAACAGCCAATTTCTACTGATGCTGTTCTTCGGTGACCCTTATTCCTTTAATACTAAATTGAAAGTTTCTGTTGTTTACCTGTTCATTTTCTTCTGTTTGCGCCACCTGCTCATCTGCGTTTCAATTTTGTCCCATGTTCTACTGAGACTCGGAAACATAACTTCGGGAAGAATGTGAACTGTAACGACTCATTCGAAACTGAGGATGTCTGCTGTCCAATAGAAACCTAAACATTATGATGACTTTCCAAATGCCAAAGTTCAGTCAGTCATGGTCTTGGGAGCTTAGTACAGAGTGGGAAAAAAGGTGTTACATAGCTCCATGGTTCATTGTCCTTTAATTACTTGGCGTTCCTTTTCGGAGTGTGAGAAGTCACGCTTGCTGATTTTTGCCTTCTTTTTCCCCTTTCATTTCGTTGATGGTGTTGAGTAAACGCTCACAGACATCCTCGTCGCATTTCACGAACACTGAGTTGTCCATATGACGAGTCTTAGAAGGTTTTAGCCCTTGAACGGGGTGGATTTATAAAAGAAAGATGTGGTCTTCGTATAAGGCGATGAGTATTTATATATATATGTATGTATATATATGTATATATATGTATATATATATATATATATAAAACCTTGAGAAAGGAAAAACATATCCAGGAGTGATTACGGTAAGATTTCGCGATTTCTTATGTTCAAATGTGCTCCAGTTTTTCATACTATCGATTTAAGATATCGACTTTTTAGCGTGGAATTATAGGTATGGATCGGAATATGTCATATATGGGATACTATTATGCCTATTTGTCAAGATGGAGGTCTCACATTATTCCGTTAGTGTTGTTGATCATCACCGTTACACTCACTGTATTTGTCATCCTACGGTTGATTTTCTGTCTACTGACACCAGACCTGGACGTAAAGGTGGGCTGCAAAGGTTTCTCTTTAAGAAATTCGACTTCTCTGCTTCTAATTTAGTTTTCTTGAAATTGAACTGTTAAGGCTCAAGAAGATCGTCCTTTGCTTCACAGTAAAGCTAACGAAGGTATTTACACTCACGTTTAGACCTTTTCTTTTGATTTAATTTGTTAAAAATTTGACGAAAGTGTTCATGGGCGGCTTATATGGATGTCATTCGCCAGTTTTTGTAAGTGCTACCTTTGCTCACCATGAATTTTCATAGTCCTCGTTTCGAGATCATGGAAGTCGATTTGCTCGAGGTAGTGATCGATGTAACATATGGATAAAATTGTAATAAAAAGGGATGAAGCTGTCGGCGTTGATCAATCCCTAAGGGACGCACCATGCATTCTTCATTAAGCATCGTTGGAGGTGATTGAATGCATATCTGGCCTTTACAATGACTCGCGGTGGCCAACCGATGTATCGAGCTAGTGTTGTTATTCTCCCAGGGAAGCCTGGTACCAATTTGCGACCCCGGAGGGATGGAAAGCTTGGTGAACCATGGGCGCGGGGATCGATCCCATGTATACTGTGGGGCGCCTCCGACCACCTCCGAACACGCGCCCTTAACGTATGAATAGTGAACATACTTACTTGATACTTGAATGACCCGTCCTTACTGATTGTGCGAGCCCCACCGTAACCTCCACTTTCCGAAAAATTTGCTGGTTAAGTCATTTCATTTTGGTTCTCTGGAATTCCGAGGTCAGCCTGGCCAAAGTCTGCCTCTTGTCTTCGCCAACACAGACAATCGCAGCCTTTGTGGATAAGAGGGAGATTTGCCACCATGCGACTTTGATACCAGGACGGTGGTGGATCCTGGTATTGGTTTACTCCTAGCCAGGCTTCCTGATGAAAGCGCCGGACTCCTTCTCAGCCTGGGAGACCCCGCAAGGGTATGAATCCCCTGCTGCACATCGCAGCCCGGTACCCAGGAACACCTCCCAGCCACGATGAACGGGAACCGTTGGGAGGATGGTGAGGATAAAAGTCTTAAAAGAGTAAAGTTGAGAACTACCATGGTTTAGTTTTATTTTACGACACTATTGCCTTTAATACATAACACTCAAATTTGCACTGGATGCAGTGCACCTTGTCCCACCTTACACCACCCCCTCCAGACGCGTGCATAGCATATGATGCATCTTGGGCATTGTTTATTGTCTTAGAATGAGTGTTGGGATATTTTAGATTAGAGCTATAATCTTCATAGTTTAAACGCACATTTAAACATTCAGTTTTAGGTCGCACAAAAAATTCCAACTTAGTGGAAGTTAGTTTCTTAATTTCAGAATTTCCAATTTATTATTACCACGTTTTTAAAGACAGTTAGTTTAGGGAAATTGGTCGCTCAGCAAAGGATACGTGTCAATTCTGGGCGCTGAATATGTGTTGTAAAACTCTCAATAGGAGAATAAAAAGTATACTTCACGTAGAATTTTCGAAGAGGATTGGTACTATAGAATTTATTAGCATGCAATAGTTGACGTTTCAGCCGTTTCGACTTCTTCAGAGCCTGGAAAAGTTAAATTGATATTTGACATGCGATCTAGTTAGCCAAACACTTTCATAACCCTTACTTTCCTGATGGTTGAATGGTCCATCCTCACTGGTTCTGCGGGCCCCAGCATAATCTCCATTTTTCGGAGATTTGCTGGTTAAGGCTGTTGTGGTTTCCTGGAGTTCTAATAAGGTCAGCCTGGCCAGAGTCTGCCCCAGGTCTTCACCACCACAAGCAGTCGCAGCCCTTGTGGATCAGAGGGAGATTCACCACCACGCAACTTTAATACCAGTACGGTGGTCGATCCAGATTTATTGTTAGCTAGGCTTCCTGATGGAAACGGCAGAGTCCTTCTCAGCTTTACCAGGGAGATTAATCTGCCCGCTGTACGTCGCAGTCCGACACCCAAGAACAGCGGCAAACCGTTGGGAGGCTTTCATAACCCTAACAAATAGAACTTAATGCTTAACTTATTTTTAAAAAAACTGTTTAAAAAGGAACTTAACACATAATTTACTAGGATACAATAGCTGACGTTTCGCGGCCTCGCCTAATGCAAATTTAAATGTTAAATCTTATCTGCTAGGGCCATAAAAGTGTTTGGTTGAGTAGATCGCATGACAATTTGACCTTTCCAGGTTCTGAAGAAGACGAAACCTCCGAAACGTGAGCTATTGTATCCTAACAAATTCTGTAACGCCAATCTCGTGCCTGCTTATTGAAGAAAAATAGCGAAAGAATACACTGTCCACTTAGAATTTAAATGAGCATACAAGAGCACAAGATACCAAAGTTTATTTTGATTTCGAATATATTCAGAAGTGGAAGGTAATCTCATCCGTGTGAAGACAGTAGTTTGTTGTTAGTGGTGGCAGGAAGATCGAATGGTCGAGAGGTCATTCTCACGCATAATACTATCATATGATGATGAGATAACATGACTTGTTCAATGACACGACCAAATCGGGAGCCTAAATTGCAAATTGTAACACTGTTCTAATTTTGGGAACCGAACGCTCCAAAAGAAATGGAAGGAAGAGGGTGATAAGATTTGCACCAACAAAAGATGTGGGAAGATGGCAAAGAGATTCGTTCAATGAAACTACGTTGAACATGGTGCAAGTACGAACTCACTCCATTCAATCGGTTCAACGCCAGAAAGAAATCTAATTGAAACAACTGAGTTTCTAAAACAATTCTTCATATTCTACAGACTTGAATTAAGCTCAACTAACTCCGGAGCTTAACACACGGCACCTGAAAGGAACTTTTAGACAAATTGTGATGGCTTTCGATCACTGGAGTATTGAGCATTTTACCGATTTCTATGACGAACTATCTATCGCTTTAAATGCATATTGATTTTTTCATCTGTTTCATCCTTTGTATTTTTTTCACTTTTCAATTTTTTTCCGTCTTTCAACCTCGTATATATTTGGAATTGAAATCTTCAAAAGATTGGGAGCACATACAAATTTCTGACACTGCCAGCGGGGCCGCTCAAATATAAGCAGTGGTTGGAGAACATTGCCGTATTCTTCTGAACGAGATCCCACTTAGCCAATTGCTGTCGTGCTCGCAATGCAAGGTCTTTTAATGAAGCAGAGCGAAAGATTAGGTCTTGTGGCTCCAGAAAACTAGGATTTTATTCTGGCAGAATAAGAGGGCTTGTGAATCGTAGGCGAACACCTGTGATTTTTTGACTTTTGATTCCAGTGATTTTTATTTCAAAAGCTATAAATCAATACAAGCTGAAATACGTTGTTATTTGAAAGTGATTACCGTTATTGCATGCAGCAAATGCATTATAGTCAATACACATCAGGCGCTACATATCACGAAACCTGCGAAAGGTGTGTCTTTTTAAAGGCTGATCAGGCTACTGTGAGATTCTACTTTAGTTCTTGGCTTCAAAGGCTCCCTTTTTAATGAGAAAGCCCTACATTATCGTGATTTCAGTATACGTGAAAAATTCCCTCTTCTCTGTATGAAATATGAGTTATCCGGCATTGTTCAGCCTTACTCGTTTAGCTTTAAGTCAAGAGTCTTTACTCTGCGTGGAATCACCCACTGATTACGGTAGCCTTTGTGGCTTTTTGTGAGTTTTAGAGCTTTTCCTCTTTATCCACCATTTGACATCCATGGGCACCAGCCACCTAGTAATGATAGACCTTGTACGTGTTAAGCGATTATTGGGTGCGCTCTATTAAAACGATAAAAATTTATGAAAATGTACAATGATTGGGTGTAAATGATAAAAAAAACCTTTTAAATTTTATAAAGGAGCGACAGGACAGAGTCTAGTCTGAAGGACGAACCGGTTTTCAGCGCTGTGTGTCCTCCAACAGCTATTCATTGTACTGATGTGAGCATTCACTGAAGGTCCCAGCATGTCTTTATGACCACAAGCACTATTGTGGATCTTAGCACACGTTACTTCCGTTTCTTAACCTCACGACACCCGTCTATTTTGGTCTGCTTCAAATATAGTGATGCCAGTGAAGCATATTCCATGATCCATTAATCTTCTCCAGTTGTAAATGATGCTCGTTTTCACAAGTCTGCCTACCCATTATGTAGGTTGGTCGCTTTAGAAAACGCCTACAACCTCTTGAAGTTCACTCCACAGTTCTTTTCGTTCATGTGTCACCTGCCGTGCTAATTATGTGAGCGCGCCATCCACGTTTTGCTTTCGTTATGAATTCTGTTGGTTCTCAAAGATAGGATACCTTTCGAAGATTCCAGAAGTCTAGGACGTCGTTGTCCATGCACAACTCAAGCGCTTTATGTCTAAAGCGTAGAGTTATCACGTGATTGTATAATCAACCCAATTCTCTGCCGAATAAAGGAGCGCTGCGAAAACCGATGAGAAAAGTCAAGGACGAAGCTTCAGGTATGTTAGTTGGTCAGTGGCTTCTTTGGCATTCTTGAATGCAACCAGTGCTGATTTACTTCTTTTGCACAATTCTGCTTTCATGCTGTGCTCTTTTCCTTCATATTCACTGGATGCGGTTAGCACACATAAGGTGTGCTTTCTGTAATAAGGGAAAAATTCGTTTCTATTTGCTCAAATTAGCACTATGGGTTCTTGATGGAAAAGAAATTTCTGTGACTTATTCAGAATCACACCCTTTTGACGCTTCGAACACGTTCTTTTCTTCACTTACATTTCTACAAAAGATGGGGATGCTGGAAGAAAAACGAAAGTATTAAAGAAAATTTCCACCAATACATATGTCCCCTTCTAACCAATCGAGTAAGATCGTTATTTTCTAGAAGCTGACAGTGAACAGCTTTCGCGATAAGATATTACCTTTTGTCGGCTGTGACGTTTCGCAGCTGTGAAGTTCACCTCCTCCAGATGAGTGAAAGAGCAGTGCGAGGACCAAATAACATCTGGGAAAGAATCTGGCATGGATGCTCTCCAACAGGAGATTCGGAGTTCCGAACGTGGATTGTGGAACGGAAAATACTAACATAAAACTCTTCCGTTAAAATTCCATATAATGGCTCCAGGAGTTAGTAATAAAATAATGATTGATATTAGTAGACAATAAGCCGGAATCAGCAATTAACAGTGCGTACATTTTCTAGCACAAAGAAATTTGTGATTTTGAAAGACGAATATAGAACGAACTGTGATTGGAGCCCTGGTGTTAAGCCACGTTGAAGGTCTGTGGAAAATATTCTGACATATTTAACTTTCGTGGCAAATGTACTCAACACTGAATAGAGGAGAAGACCGTTAGAACTATGGCATTCATCGAGGATTTCGACGATTCTTGACTCGTGTATAATGAAACAAAAGAAAGCACCAGGCGAATGAACGCTGTCAGCAATTAGAAGGACTTCCGAAGCAAAATGTCCATTTCCGGCCGTCAAGACGTTGCTCCATCTGTCAGCACTTCCGTCAGTCCGTTCATCCGTCCGTCCATCCGCCTCTGTGAGAGATGTCTAACTGTGGCGGCCTTATCGCTTCAGTTGAACGAACCACAATCGATTTGTCCGTGCTCAGTACTCACCATTCCCACAGTCATCCGTCCACTTTCCTGTTTATACAGCTTCTGTGTTTAAAATATACGTTTGTAACTGGTTTTCGGAGAACGACTGATAATTCTTCATTAGCAGAGTGGTTAAAAAGTTTAAAACTTGATAGACTTGTAGAAGAGGCCTCGCCTTAATGGATCTATGTATAATTTTTAGATTCTTGTATTACTTCCAAAACTGTTTAGAATTGAAATTTACAACGGATAAGGAAACTCTCAAATTTGTACGAACTCCTATGGAACCGGTGTTGTCGCAAATTTCAACACCGTGTTGGTGTCCACTATCGTTTAATGCCGAACGAAATTCTGCTTGTGCAATGGCTTCCGTACTCGAATCTGAAGCCTTGAAGAAGAAAAACAATGTGTTTCGTGGGCTCAACTCAAGAAAAGTAGAACCTTTTCATCCTATAATAAAAGAACATGTATTTTGTAGATAAATGTCCATAAATGGTTTTTATTTCAACTGAAGAAGTTGCATACATATTGGGATGTGTCGGTTTAACACAAACGCGACAAAGGACCTCTATAGAAGTCAGTTCGAAGTAGCCAGAGGGCTTAGTCTAACCTCCATAGGTTTCATTTTCTTTCCGTCGGTTTAGTTGAATACATAGAAGAATTTCCACACATGTTTCTACACTTATTTTCTATCTTTTTTCTTGTTTTTTTTCTATGTTTTTTCATGCCAGGTTACTATGTAAATGACATCCACAACCATATTGAGATGTGAGCAAAACTTTTGATTGGTTAGTTTAGATTGGAACCTAAGATCCCTCACTCCCCCTCACTAGGGGCGCGCTTCACCTCCGAGGTCCAACCTTGCATTGCCTTTCCAAGTTCTCCAGTTACTGAAAAACTTGTTTATTGTCAAAAAATCAGGCTCTCCGTAGGCGTTGAAAATTATGCGTCGTCCATTGCGACGGAAAGGCGAATTGTAGAGGAGACTTTGCTGTTTCTCTCTATGTGATATGCAAACATATGGTATGCATGCTACTATTATTACTACTATATGTGATGCATAACATAGCCACGTTATTGCCAGCATTTGGGTGTGCTTTGGAACACGTGTTGAGTCTATTTTGGTACTTGTTACCCTCTCCTCTTCCATGTGATAGTCGTAGTTCGTCACAGCTACTGGAATTGAAATGACAGTTAACAACTGCCAATTACAATGATGCTACAGTAATATTAACAGTTTTATTTACTGCCTATTTTTTGTAATGGAAGGGTGTATTGCGAAATATAATTTCAGCGATGCTGAGATATTTGCAAAACTCCGGGCCGCAGCTGTCTGCGGCAGGGACAATTGCGCTTTCGTTCCCCACCGCAGACACCTGCGGTCCGGAGTTTTGCAAATATCTCAGCATCGTTGATGCTGTAGCATTTGAAAGACTTGGCCCCCAGGCCAAATTATAACAGTTAGTTACTAACCAAATCAGCGCTCAGTGAACTCGTCTGGAATAGTTTTTGTGGAATACAGCTTTTCCTAGAACATAGTAAACTGCTCAAAAAAGCGCTATGCAAAAAACTAAACCACTGAAAAGAACATTAGTCACAACATGTATGACTCGACCACTTCACCTTGGGATAAGTCAGTTGAACGGCACCGATCTCGTCGCTAATATATTGATATTTTCTTTATATAGATGCTTTTCGAAACTAAAAAAGAAACCGTTAAAGGCAGCATCTTTAAAATGTTTTAACAAAGTCTGTAATATATCCAAAGGTTGGGTTCACTTGTGTGAATGTTTTCCCGTTCTACTCTTAGTACAACTGTCCACGTTCCTCTCATGCTATAACGGTTTTTAGATTCAAAGCGTGGTTTTATGTTGCTTGAAAATATGCAACACGGTGGACAAATGATGTGGATGTGGTTTCACACGCACATCAACGACACACTTCTCTTCAAGAATTGGTGGATTCGTGACGTTGGAAGTACGATACTTTGTTTCGTCGTAATCTCTCAAGCCTTCCAAATATGTATTCTTTCCTCTTTTTACTTGAAGAGAATTCTCGCTTTGCTTAGTTAGGTTAGGCTACCTCTTTGTACAATAAGTTTTGGAATGTTGTGAGGATGAAGAAGTATGGGAGGGTTAAGAAAGTTTTCTATAATGGCAATGACAAATGTGATTGTATAGCGCTGAGAAGCGCAATTCCAATGAAAAATCTTTGATTTTCAGCCATGGTGTGGTGGTGCATTGCTATTGGCCTATTAGGCATTAGTTTGGAGGCAATCAGGTCAAAAGCTTCATCATTTACTTGTTCGTTTTCTCTTTTATATTATCCCTAAAACTTAGAAATTTGAAGGAAAACGTAAGTGACAAATCATTTCAGGTGGCTTCGTTGGGTTTCGGAAAGTCACCGAACTAAGGAAGAAACGTGAGATGTTACCGTATTTTTGAGTGTTATTGTAACAGGTGGAAGCATTTGTGTAAGAGTACCAATCAGAAAAGAGGAATACAAAGTGCGGTAATTATCGGATTCTCTCTTGTACTGAATAACAGCAAATTTTAGGCAATAATATAAAAAGTTTCTTAGCAGCAGAGGGAAGAAGACCCACGCATGAAAGCGATCACTCTGGAACACAATGCAGTCCAATGTTCGTTCTACTATTTGAGTTCGATGAATCAATGACCGACTCGTAAACGATCTCAAATCCAGTAATTCAATATCTCAACTTCCTGGATAGGCAGTTTATCCACCTACGCATCCAGATCAAAGAGTTTATTTAATGCGCTTAGTAAACACGTTTATCATAAGAATCCGAAGGTCAGTTAACGTCATACATCACTAACCAACGACATATTTTACTAATTGCTTCACAAGTTTTTAATAGCTTTTCTACTTGTATGGTCGAAGTCCACATATTGTGAGGATAGTAATACTTCTACTATTCGATTCGTCTCTTGCCTCATCATCCACCAAGATTTTCGGATTTGTCAAGGTTTGGATACTAACTGGTCCACTTGATCCTCCGTAGAATCTGATAATTCTACTAGGTGGTTCAAAGTCTTCACCGCAGTCATTTGCCTTATGAATTCGAAGAAGCTTTCCCAGACAAGTCTTCTACCAATTTACAGACTCCGGAAAGATAGGAAACTTGACTAGTTTTAAGCGAGGTCGAACCACGAGTCGTCGAGCGATATCTCTGAGCCATACACTTCCCACTTCTGATTGTTGTTATTATCGGTTATTTATTCCTACAGTTAAAATCGTAGTTATGTAATTAACTGTTCAGAGCGGAGTTTTGATAGAAATAAGGTATATTTACAGATGGTGCTCGCACTTATTGAACTCCTCGCACTACAAGCATGTGCTGCTCCACGTCTTCCATGCTGTCGTCGCATACACTTTGATGCTGGTTTTCATGACATTTTCTGTCTGGTTGTGTATTTCGCTCTGTTTAGGCCTGGCAACCGGCCACTTTCTGTTTGGAAATAGGCGTTTCACAGTTGTTCCATAATCCATTATATGTTTATCTAATGCTTCTTTTGCTTACTTCTTTTATTACTGATTCAACGAATCATCATCAAATCAGTTACGAGTTTCTTCAATTGAAATTTTGCCCGCTTTTGGTTTTACTTCAAACACTGATTTCTCCATCAGGACAATCTTATATTTCATCCAAACAGATTAATAAACTACTACATGCATTTTAAGCATGGGGTTCGCTTCGGCTCCTCAGCTTACTCAAACGCTGTTTTCCCAATTCGTGTACAAATAGTTGCAAGTGCTTCGAGGTCTTAAAAACTGTTTATATTAGGTAGACTGAAGATAAATATGATTTTCTTACTTAAATAGAGGGGTGAACTGATCCTACATCCCTGTGAATCACTGCTTCTGTAGTCCCGCGATAAACTTGGTAAAGACCATGTCAAATTGCCATAGCAGGCAGCCACCGACGATTACCTAAAGGACACTTGCCACTTTGCCATGAAACTTTTTCCTGGACGACAGCGCATTCCACCATAGGTTCACTCTTACCTAAGGTTATGCGCAGTACTATTGCACTCATTCTCAGCATGAAAGACTATGCTGAGAACCTCAACTCGACGCTGCAGCTTGACGCTTATGAGTCACTTGCAGTCATGGTGAGAGGTTAAATACTAAGATAGAAGAAGATAATGGCATGTTTCGACCGCTTACCGAAAACGGGTTTTCTTTGCAATTTACTAAAGAGATGGCTTTTCTGAACCATAGACGATACTTAACATTAGATTTGAAGCAACGCTAAAGAGAATTCACAAATATTCAGACGACCGCTTATAGTCACACTGGTGAAATCAAAAAAAATCGATTGATTCTTTTATTCACATCCTTTTATACATAACTCCACTTAATACATCTTATATGAAAAGATGTAGTTGTTTCAGTTGTCGTCGATACAGTTGCTGTTTCTGTCCCGTTGCAAGTTGTTCAGGCGAAACATTGGTGTGATGCTGCGTCTGTAGAAGGGTTTCGGAGCAAGAGAAGGATTTAGTGTCTCGTCGATATTACAGTTTGGAGACGAAGAGTCTCCCTCGCTCGTCCGACTCAAGGGCAACATACGTGACTCGCGCTGAAACATATATATATATATATATACCTTTATTTGTTACCTATTTGTTAACCAGAACGTTTTTTATAAATAGGTGGAGCCAGCAGTGAGACGAACAAAGAAACCGAAAACAGCACTGAAGTCTGTGTAGGATTAAAAACTCTTGGAATGGAATCTAAAATCTTGTCGGTTTTCTAGATCATTAGTTGTTTAACGCGTGATTGTTATGCAAATCAACAAGCCGTGTAGGAGGCAGTAGCAGTTTTTATTTGCTGTTATGTTTTAGAGTTCTCCTCTGAACCTCTTCACTTGGAGGAACACAATCCGCCTCTTGCTTCTTGACGATTCTGTGCAGCCTTCCATGGCATAACTTAAGCCCTGCCATCGTCGTTTCTAACTTAGTAGTTCCACTATGTACAGTGTACGCGTTAAAGCCGGCAAGACAAATTGAAAAGTAAGGGAGGAATTGGGTATTCGCTGTGTTATTCAGCAGCATGTCTTTAAAATACTTCTCTAAGCGCCGCATGATGTCATTCGTTTGCCCCGTGATAGCGTCGGTCTTTTCGATTTCTTGACAAAAATTCACACAGCTGCAAGCTTCGAATGGTTCCCCACGAAGGCAAAGTCAAAAACCTTGCCACTCGCCCACCAAATAGAATGCGCTTGTAATACCTAGAGCTCACTAGAATAGAACTTTCAGCCAGCGAGTATTCATTCTCGCTACGCTACTAAGGCAGAGTTAGTAAGAATAAGAATTAAATCATATTTACGCCAAGATCTGATTCCTACACATTGGCGACGAAATGCTGGCAGAACAAAAGCTATAAAATTGGAATAAGACTCATAACAAAATTATGATGCGACAAATTGGAACGACTTGTGCATCCAAAAACCCATTTAGTATGGACTAATGTATTTAATTAGAAGTTGAATTAATTAGTGCTACAGGGAGTTCGGACGGTTCTTTGGTAAGCCAGTTCGGATTTCAACGAGCAATGACAAGTTCCAGCGACTCACTAAGAAATGACCATTTTGTTCCGTTGATTTTTTCAACCAACAGACCTGTCTCCTTCTATGAAACTTCTTTTTTCACTTTTCTATCCAAATTCTGCGCAAAATGCCTACCCTATGCATTGAATGGCATTCGTCAAAGGCATAGATAACACTGATCGCTCAGAAGCGCTTCTATGTTTACTTTCTAGTAGGGAATTTTTCCAGACCATGAATGTAAATTAAATTGGCACGAATTTATGAATAAATAATTATGGCGTATTTCAATGTATTTCGGCAAAGTCTATTAACTTAATTAACTATTAACTATAACCATTAATTAACTACAACGACGCTGAGATATTCGCAAAACATGGACCTCGGGCTAAATCGAAACACCTTGATTTTCTTTTCCGGAGGCCGTGACGGGTGATTGCTGGTGGCACTGCTTGATAGAAAACTAGCTGAGAGAAACGCAGAACAAGGGTCTCTGTGGTGCAGTGTGTAATGTGCGAGCTGCCGGAATGGGAAATCGTGGTTCGATCTGGGCCACGGTCCAAGTTTTGCGAATGTCTTAGCATTGTTGTGGTCGATTTCCCATAGTACCCTGAGGTAAAAATTGCTGTGGACAGTAAATGAAAAAGTAAACATTATTAACTAACTACTACCTTTACTTACTTGATATTTGGTACTTGAATGGCCCATCCTCACTGCTTGTGCGGGCCCCAGCATAATCTCCATTTCTCGGAGATTTGCTGGTTAAGTCATTATGGTCCCCTGAAGTCCCGAGGTCAGCCTACCCAAAGTCTGCCCCAGGTTGTCACCACGACAGGCAGTCGCAGCCCTTGTGGATCAGAGAAAGATTTACCAGCATGCGACTTTGATACCAGGACTGTGGGGGATTCTGGTATTGGTTTACTCTTAGCTAGGCTTCCTGATGGAAACGCCGGACCTCTTCTCAGCTTGGGAGACTCTGCCAGGGGATGAATCCCCCGCTGTACATCGCAGTCCGACACCCAGAAACACTTCCCAGCCATGATGAGGCGGTACATCGTTGGGAGGACTATCATTACTATCTTAACTACAGTATCGAAATAGTGAAGCAAACCCCTTCGACGCGAACGGGTTGATGTTTAGATGTTTAGCATATTTCGCTCACCTTAAACGCTTCTCTACGATAGTGTTCCTGTTTAGCAGTTTCTATCCGAATCCAATACGGTACGTCAGGTACCGCCAAGTCGATGAATTTTTTAGATGCGAGGATGAAGTGCTCGAGAACGACCACGATTAAGATCTGAATTCTTTCTTTCAGCAAAAAAGCAAGTTGTATTCGGCGAAAATGACTAGGCCGAAAAAAATAAATGCTTTGAAATTAGAGGCAGACAGTGTTAATGAATGAGATGGTGCTCGGCTTTCCGTTACGAGCGGCGCAACGTAAATATACCTAGTCTGGGCCACGTGTACCAATACGTTTTAAAAACAGGAATTTCACATTTATTATCCTTCAGAACCAGGCCGAAGGAAAGAAATGGAAATACCCAGCAAAGTTAAGTCGGGAGTTCAGGAAAGACCCAATTTCCCAACCAGCAATAGGCAAGACCTAGTACTCTGAACACTGATTGCACTTATCTATGACGTTAGGCGGTGAGACGACCGGTGCGACGCTAAAAAGTCTTGAGTCGCGCAGCACGTCACTGGAATCGGATCTGACGAACACACGCACGACACGCCATGGAGATTGTTCCTTACCTTGCACGCATAATGCCATGACATTCTCTTCAGACGCCAATCGTCATGCCCTACTTGATGCAGCAGATCGCATCAAATTCCATGTGGCTGTGTAAAAAACAAAAAGCAGGAGGACCGGCATATTCGTGTAGAAAAGGTCCCGTTGTGAAATGTTGGTGGAGTAGGCATTATCGTACACCTATCCAGTGTTCACCTTGTCGACTCGTACGAGAACACTTTCACCTCGCATGGCCGTCTACCGTTTTCAACTAACACATAATAAGAAGAACACTATCATCAGTTTCTATAATGCTGAGATATTTCACAACATACCCTGCCATTAAAAAGAATAGGCAGTAAACAAAAAGGTTAAGACTATCATCAGTATGTATTCTTTCTTTGATGAGCTTACACGAGGTTGATAATGATGTTTATTTTCGGCTAACGTTTCGACGTCTTCGTCTTCCTCAGAGCCGATGATCCGAGTCGATGGTCCTCGCTTGTTATTATATCATATTATATTATTACTATCATCAGTGTCAACTTTTTTCTCTACTGCCTATTCCAATTTTCACGGCAGAGTATTATGAGAAATTAATCACAACAATGCTGAGATATTTGTAAAACCCAAGAAAAAACAACAAACAAAACACACATGAACATGAATTCGTGTCATAGACCAAGAAGGAGATGTCTAGTTCTATTTGACGAGAACATTCTGAACGAATTCCTATCCAAACGTCATTGACAAAGAAGATCCGACCGAAGAATACGAGCTACTTGTCGAAGGACTTAAAAGTTGTGCCGAATTCGCCTCAGTTCCTCAAGCAAGAGGATCAGATCGCATCTCCATTATTACTAAGGACTTGCTTGGAAAGAGAAGGAAACTGAAGCTTGATCCTACCAAAACACTCTTAACACGACCAAATAATAAATCCCAGTTGCAGAAAAGCTTCACAGAAACATCTACATCAGTACGGGAAAAGAAACTGTTACAAGCAGCACAGAAAGGAACCAATTTGGAAAAATGCCGTCGTAACTTGTCCGACTAGTGTTCCGCCGTCAACCCTGAGGAACGAGGATAGGACAACCATCTACCATGATTTGGAATTGATAACGGAAACGTTCTACGCCAACCTTTTCCGTTCCACAATCCCTGTGCCGGACTCTAAAATCCCCACTGGAGAAAACCACCTGGAATGCTTTCCTGTGGAGTTCAAGTTGTGATAGGAAGCATGAAAAAAAGATCAGCTATATGAGGCGATAATATCACCACAGACTTTCTTCGGCCGAAAGTTACAATATACATATCATTTTTTTAAGAAGTACCATTGAAGCAAAGATGGCGACCGATGAGCTCAACGAAGCAGGAAAACGGATCGGACTACGCATAAATCGGGAGAAGACTCAGTTCATCAAAAACCCATGGTGTGAAGGTGATCACATCAAACTTCATGGTTCTCTGATTGCAGAGACAACCTCGCTACATATACTTTGGGAGTTCAATGAACATGGAGAAGAAAAAGAAGGAGGGATTGCGCAAAAGAGAGCAGAATTGGCTACAATCGGGCCTCTCAAAGAATCCACCGACGAACCCGAAAATCCGCGCTCACCTTTTTGATCCAGCTGTCTGGGAGCGCTTTGTTATGCAGCGTAAAAACGGACTGATACTACAACCACGCCAAGAATACTTCGTACTACTCACAGAGCGACTGAACGATGCCTTCTGAAATATAAAACGGCACATACAACATCTAACTGGAATGCGAAGCTAACACCTTTGACATCTATCCACTCTTCGAGATCAGACAAAAATCGATGGCGAGACATAAGTGGGCTGGTCATATAAAAAGAAGAACAAGATCAAGGATCGATAGAACTAGCTGAGAGACAGGCGAAGCGAAGGATCCGCATGGTGTGGTGGTGAACGCGTTACTCCCCGGAAAGGACAATAGCCCGTTCATTCCCAACCGCAGACACCTAGGGTGCAGAGTTTTGCAAATACCTCAGCAACATAGAGGACACTGTGTCAAAAATTCTTTGACCGACGCTTGCACTTTTCTTCTTTTAAAATTACTGCTTGTGATCTTAAGGACTTAAGATAAAATTTAAGACCTTTTTGCACAATTCACGTGAAAAAATCAGAGTTGCCCTCGAGAGGTGCAAAAGTAGGGCCTGTTCCCTTACAGTAATCGATGTGACGTAATATGAAAAACAAGACGTTGTACCCACTTATGAATAAGAATTACAGGTTTTGAGAATGTGCTGAGATGTTGGAAAAAAGGTAGGGGTAGGCGCAGCATTGTAGAAATGGTCTGCAATGTTGATGAGGAAACAGCACGTTGTACAGTTAATGTATTCATCAGTGTATGAATCAATGTCAAAGAAAAAAGCTACTCCTCTTGACCATACGTCACTACATCAAATTTTGTGTGGTTGCCAGGTGAAACGAGGCCAGTTCGTCTCGCATAAGTTAAGAATCACATGTGATTCATAGTGTCTGTCATGTCACGAAATATCCCCGCGAGGTAAGCATACTCTTTCAAAAAAAATTTTTGTGAACTATGAAGTGCAAAAGCTTTCTCGGATTCCTGCAAGAAATTTGTGGTGACAAAGCTATCAAGCCAGTATAAACAAGATAGCAAAAGAAAAAGCTGTTTTCAGTCAAAACTGAAACAACGGAAACAAAATGAATTATGTATGAATCGTATCTTTGCAAATGTATTAGCAAAAAAAAACAGCATTTAATGACCAAAGCCATTAATAAGCGAAGATTAGAAAAATGGTGTTTACAGTCCTGAACCTCTCAGAACATTTTAGAAAATAACTGTGAAGCATGAAAGAGTAAAGTTATCGGCAAAAGTCAGTTTCATCGAGCTTTAGCATTTAAGAGAAATTTATTAGGAAATGCTTGTAGCGCAGTGGTTATAAATGCCTTTCAATAGACGATTGGCTGCTAATTGCATAGCTCCTATGGGCCAACCAAATTTCTCCCCTTCTAGTTGAACAAACTTATATGGATGGATAAAAACAAACTTCGAAGGGTCTTTGAAAGTCATCGTTTGGGAAAAAATGCATTCGGTCACCTCTACGATGTTTCGAATGAAGCTGAAGGCATGGAACATTCGTATGCACCGATCAATGCCGAACGCTATATCTTTTTCATCATTGACAGATTATTGGTGAAAAAAGTAGCCAACCTGTCCACCCCAGCTTAGATCTGGGCAAATTCGTTGTACTAAGCCGGACTGACCAATGAGAGCACAGTTCACCATCACACCAGCTATTCCTAGCAGCTGAAAACGACAACATTGTGATCACAAAAATCAGGTAAACTCATTGGGAACACTCGCAGACGTGCTACTTCCTCAGCAATAAATCTTAACAAAAAAAAACTATTCTAGGCAGCAAAATTTTGCCTATCGGGCAGAATTTTGCACGGCAGCCACGATTTATTGCAAATGCAACAGTGCTACCGTATTCCGTGGACGTGAAAACAAACCTCCATCGCTTTCTGCCAAGCACCGATGTCCTTTACTTGTCTTGCGAATGGTCGTTGAACGGTATTGCAAAGCTTGAAAGCATCCACACGGATTTCAACAACATTATTCACCACGACACATAGTGCAGCCAATGGAAACGCCGGCGAGAACAACAGCACGTAGCCGAACTGCAAGTAAAGCCACAGCTGACAACGACGCACTAACAGTTAGCTGTTCATTCAAAATCTTATTTTTCTTGTTTGTATACTTTGCCAATGGATTTTTTTCACTACCACTAACACTCCATTCAAGGACAACATCAACAGAGTTTTTGTTGCAGTTTAAAATAAAGGATAAAAAATGGATAAAGCTCTCGGCTTTGATCAATCCATAAGAGATGCGCTATGCATTCGACTTTATTAAGTATCCTTGGAGGTGATTGAATGCATATCTGGCCTTTACATTGACTCGCGGTGGCCTACCTTTGTACCGAACCAGTGTTGCTATACTCCCAGACAAGTCTGGTACCAATTTTCCAACCTCGAAAGGATGGAAGGCTTGGTGGGCCACGGGCGCGAGGATCGATTCCACGTGTGTGTTGCGGCGGCGCCTCCAACCACTGTGCCACACGCGCCCTTTTTGCAGTTTAAAATAGTGCTACTAATGATTTTGTTCGTATTTTTTGAGCAAACGCGAGGTGTTATTGTTCTTTGTTCACGATTAAGCTGACGTTTCGGCGAAT